ATTTTGGGCCAGCAAAGCAGAAATGAATGTGGGGATCCTGATGCTTCTTTTATGGTGTTAACACCAGGTTCCAGTCATTTCTTTCTGACTCCTTCTGCCCCTTTCCATTCATGTGCAGCCAAGGGCAGGACTGGATGTCCCCAGCTGCCACTGTGTGACCCTACCTAAGCAAACACACCTGGCTCTCCAGCTGTGATTGCACGGTCCTTGTGGGGAAACGCATGTTTCCGCTGGACTTTGACACTCCCTTGGACAAGTAAGATGAAAGTTCTAGTTTAAAGAGGAAGATAGGCTATGCTTCCATCATGTGCCTTACTCTTTTGGTTCCTTCCACCGAAAGGCGTCTAGCTTCCCGTCATCTCAATTCGCACATATTGCTACCAGTACAGAACACTGACAAGTGGAAGGGGAGTACAGAGCCAAGAGTGGGAAAGGTAACATCACCACTTAATGGGACTGGAACAGAGGGAGCAGACTGGAGACTGGAAGAGAAACCTAGAAGAGGGAAAATCTCTATCTTCTGGTAGTTCTGGCACTCCATCTTGCTATAAAATCCCGAGGCTCAACATACTTTCTTAAAATGCATTCTGCTCTTTGCCTCTTGAACAGAGAAACAGCTTCTACCAGATCCTGCCAGCCCAACTAAGGGCCCTAGGGAGCATTGGTTGTCTGTATGTCAAGATGGTGTCAACTCCAGCGTTTCAAATTCACCTCTCCCTGCATCATGACATCCTCAAAGACTGTGTGCTCAAGTTCAGTATCACCTTTCCAGAAAACCTGCCTTCCAGCTTCCCTCCCAATGGCATCTACCTCAGTGATCCCTGAGAATCACTGTGGGCATCCCGGCAAGTCTAACTACAGCTAAGCTTGTTGCAAAGCAGAGCACAGTGTTTTTTATTGAGATAAAAAAAAACAGCAAAAAAAAGACAAAGAAAGATGGGGACAAACTTTTTAGCAAGGCCTTTTGTGACAGCACAAGGGGTAATGGTTTTAAACTAAGGGAGGGTAGATTTAGACTGGATGTAAGGAAGAATTTTTTTACAATGAGGGTGGTGAAACACTGGAACAGGTTGCCCAGCTAGGTAATGGAGGCCCCGTCCCTGGAAACATTCAAGGTCAGGTTGGATGGGGCTCTGAGCAACCTGATGTAGTTAAAGATGTCCCTGCTTACTGCAGGAGGTTGGACTAGATGAACTCTAAATGTCCCTTCCAACCCAAAGCATTCTATCACTCTATGATTCTATGAAACCATAAATAATGTACACATATGTCAAGCTTACCAGGAATCCTATTCAATAGAGGGTGTTCTGAGACACAAGGTGACAAGACACAAGATGACACCCAGACATCCCTTCCAAACCCTACCGTTCTGTGGTTCTCTGATTATGTGAAGTCTTGAGTTTGCTTACACTTCATTCCAGACCAGGTCCCTTGTGTTTCTCTGTATAGTTTGACCTGTCTTGCCAGACATCCAGCAAAAATTAAAATGGTTATGACAGTTTCTCTCAAAAGGCAAACAGCCCCATGGCCAAGTATCTGCATAGCCAAAAGCAGGAATCAATGTTAAGCCTCTGCTGTGAGCACAGCAAGGAGAACATAAATCTTGCTGTAGCCCTGCAGTGATGGTGGATACACCTGCAGTGGTAGCATCTGCTGCGTGTTGGCTGTCAAATTCCCAGGGGAGCTTCTCATGGGCACTGTGAGCTGGTCAGCAAGTGCTGTGTCACTGCCCGGGTGGAAAGTATTGTTCCTATGGAGCTTGGCAATGGACTGGTGGGGAAAGGCAAGCTGCCTTGGCAGAGTATGATTTCCCCTGTCCATATATCAGCTCTCCTTGAGCTGATGCAGAGTGCAAGAGATGAAACTAGGTTTGAAGGGGGAAGGGGACATCACCCAGCTCACTAGGGATGAGCCCAGGGTCAGGGGTGAGATTGACAGCCCAGCTCAAGTGTGTCTATACCAACGCACGTAGTGTGGGCAATAAACAGGAGGAGCTGGAAGCCATTATACAGCAGGAC